AGTGTTTGTATGTGTGTGAAGTCAGACAGCCATGTTTTGGAACATCAGGAAATCTTTAAGAATTGGTATCCGGCAGGAATGTTGTTGCTGGTTTTTTGGCACTAATTTGTGTTAGTTTTCATATAAGCATGTCCATATAATACATGATAGGTTCAGTATAAATCATTTAATGATATAATGAAACCTGTAAAGAGATATCTTTATCAGCAAACTCATGTTTAAAATAACCATCTTCAGAGTCTTCCCAAATGAACTGAGTGTAGTTCAGCACCACATGTCCTCTTTCATTAAGCCACATATTTGTTGGTACCTTGAGTGACCACTTGACAAATTTATTTTGAGAAAACAAAGAAACAAAAAAACCTGAATTTAATAGCCTGATATTTAATGCAGGTATTTGTTATGAGACTATTCCGGGGAAACAAAGGGCCCAGCTCTACAAAAGCAGTAAGTTACGATGGGGAACCTGATGAGAGCATAGCCATCCCTTTGCATCAAAATCAGACTTCAGTATCGCAACCTGAGCAACTGTGTTTTAATTGCATATTGCAGGGACATGGCTAAAACAAAACTGGGTTCTGACTGCTCTAGAGGACCAAACCATATAGTAAACTCTCTCCACGGATTATCAGTACAATAAGCAGGTCTTCCAACATGGTTGTTTACACACTGTAGATGGGCCATGCTAAGGACCATAGACAGTTTTCTTCAGGAACTTTGAGCACAGCAACTTCCAGCGCTTTGAAATGCTTCCTAGCTCAGTGTCCGCTTTCATTATTTTATCAGCACAGCAAGTTAGGGTCATTTGTTTAGTGGTAGTGGGAGGTTGGTAAAGGGGAGATTTAGAGGTACTTTTTAACTGATTGTTTAATAGCTGAAATGAAGAGGTGTAGAAACTGAGTACAGTGGATGATGTGTGCCTTTGCCTGAGTATCAGATACTCTACTGGCTTCCCTTGTATATTTTAAAGTGACTCTATCAGTAGTTTCACTGAAGACCAGCTTTTGGGCCAGAACATTTTGACCTTTCTTTTCAAGCTCTAAATCAGGAAAACCTCGAAATGACTGGAAGAGGCAGTATAATATCCTTTGTTGGTTTGTGCAGTCTGATCTAAGGCTATAAAAATAAGCTCAATGGCGTGGCGGTAACCCACTGCCACACACTCGTGACATGGGTTCAAGAGCAGTGAGAGGAGTCTCACCCTTTGCATGGAGCTCTGATGTCAGAGAGTGGTGATCAGGTAACTTTCTCCTTTAGAGGTTATTCTCTAATAAAGCCTGAGTCCTGATTTTCTGTTGGCACTAGTTTTGGAGAAGGGTCCTTCCCCACAGGGAGCTGCCGTGAGACTAAGGATGTTAAATTGAGGTTAAATGACTAGTCCAGTGGTTGATAGGCACTTCCACATTCCTCCTTTGAAATGTACAAGAGCCCCAGCAGGAGAAATGTGGAACTCCGCCTACAGCCTGGGGCCAGTGGGAAGTCCAACTGACTCCAAGGTGCATGCCAGTGTGCCTGCTTTGAAATGTACAAGAATCCCCAGTGGGGGCTCTTGTGCATTTCAAAGAGGTCAGCGGGGGACTCTCCAGCTGATCCCAGTTGTGCTGAAATGCTGACCCCGGACTCCACAGTACTGCCTCTTTGAAACACCGAGGTGACATTTCAAAGGGGCAGCCGCTGCACAGCTGATCACAGGCTCAGCTGTGCAGCGCTTCCCCTTTGAAACACCAAGCCTGATAGAGGTAGCAACGGAGGTGGGGGAGGCGTGGGGGAATCGACTAGTTGACTATTCAACTAACTATCTGATAAGCATTTTCTTACCGGATAGTCGTCTAGTTCTTAACATCCTTAAGTGAGACTGTTGGGGATGGAGTTCAACTATAGGAATGAGGACCCGGAATTAAGGAGAACGGGAAACTCCGAACTCCAGATCGTGCTTCCAGCTGGCAATAGGTGCATTGAAAGTAACCCAGATGCATGCAAAAAGTAAAATACCAGAGTGATTGACCCTAATCTTATCCATGCTGCGAAATTCATTCTGCTGAGTTTATGATAGGCTTTTGGCTGATGTTGCATCTCATTTATCTATAAAGAGGTTTAGCCAGTGAGAAAAGTTAGCACTGATGACAGATTACAGTGGATGATTATGTAAATTTACTCTATGTTCCCTCATTTTGTCACCTGTGCTTTCTGGTAAAGTGTGTTGTAAAAAGGCATAGGAGGTGGATTATGGTATGTATACTCTGTTCTTCTTGGGTGACGGAGAACAAACTTCCATGTTTATATGCCAACAGAACCTTACTTAAGAGAAACAATCCTTATGTTACTTAGCAACATATTAATCACTTTCCCGTACTGTCCTTCTAAAAATCTCTCCTACTCTTAATACATTTCTGTGGAGTCAGGAGCTGGGATTGGGAAGAAGAACCTGATGTTTTGGTTTCCTTTCTATGTTTATAAAGGGCAAAAATAATTCCTGTGCAGAGGACCAGCACAAGGTCTGGGCAGTGCTAAAGTGACCCCATTTACAACAGTGCTTAAATGGAATTTTAGCATGCATCGGTCCTGTCCTGTGAATTTCACTCCCAGCAAATAAGTCATTCTAAAGCATGTGCACAGACTGGAAAGGGGAATCATCAGGATTCCTCTAAAAAGAGAGAAGAGACCTATTCTATAGCTAGGGAGGGAAGGAGAATGGAACTCCTACTTTCCCATTCCAAATAACCAGAGGATAAAAGAGAAAATGAATGCCGTACCTCCACCCCTCAAGAATTCTTTGATATGCCAAGGGTGACCAAACTTTCCTTCAAGCATCATGAGAACTGGTCTGGAGGACTCTGGGATGGGAAGTCACTGGAGAAAATTTTTTCCTGAATTTGGAAATGTGGGAAGAAAAAAGTTGAACCTCTAGTAGGGGGAGAAGGAAGGCTAGGAGATGAATTTCCATGAACTTAGTCAAGGCAAGATACTTTAAAATAGATAAAATCATCAGTATTTTGTTCTCCATTGTTTTAATATCAAGCATGAAAATATGTCCTGAATGAGTTTTCTGGAGTTGTGACCTCTTTACTTCCTCCACTCCCTAAGTTTCTGCATTAGCCTAAGAAGGCTGCTTGTTTAGCCTGGTACGTAAGCAATAGCCTTAGTGTTTGGCCTAGCATGGGGTAGAGCTGTAGATAGTTGCATTGATGGAATATAAATACATCAACCTGAGCTAAAATACTTGTTTGCTTTTCACGTAAAAGGCTAATTTGGACTTGTTTTGTTAATTGATTATTGCTATTTTATTGTTTTTATTTGTTCTCTATGACTTATGTTATAAGTAAAAAGTTTGTACAATTTTGTTTCTCTGAGCATCTGAATTTATTTAATGTCATATAAAGTGCTAACAATCTTTCTTTTTTAAGTGTATATAGTTTTACATTTTAAGAACAACTTCCAATATACCTCACAGTCTAGTATATTAGAGCAGAATGCTGACTGGATAAAACTTTTTAAGTAAATCATTTGTCTAAAACAGTAGCTCTAAAAGTGTTCTGTGAGTCCCCTTTGGGAAAGCCACTAGCTTTGGTTTCCTAAAGGTTCCATAGCCACAGAGCCTTGTGGCTCTCCTGGGCTCTGGTTTGCCGTTTCCAGCTAAGGGAAGCCATTGGAAGTGGCATGTCCCAGACCACCACTTCCCACGTCTCTCCTTGGCTGGAAAAAGCGCACCGGAGCCAATGGGAGCCATGAGGTAAGTAAACAATGTGGTGCAGGCCTGCTAGTAGCTTTCCCAAAGCAGGCCCGAGGAACAGTTTGAGAACCACTGATCTAAAAAAATAAGAGAAAATAGCTCATGTTTGGAATACCAGTATTTATATTGTATATAACTTGTTCAGAAATGGTTAGTGATTTTTTTTTTGTTCTTGTTGATTCAGTTTTTGAGTGCCCAGCATATGAGACAAGCTTACATGAACCTGATTTTCAGAGGGCAAAAGCTCAGCACTTTCTGAAAAGGAAGCTACCTTAAGGTGTCTCAGCTACTTTAGGCACTCAAAATTCCTAGTCACATTTGAAAATATTGGCCAATCTCTTTGGCTGTGTCTAGACTGGCAAGTTTTTCCGCAAAATATCTGCTTTTGCGGAAAAACTTGCCAGCTGTCTACACTGGCCGCTTGAATTTCCGGAAAAGCACTGACGATCTTACATAAGATCGTCAGTGCTTTTCCGGAAATTCAAGCGGCCAGTGTAGACAGCTGGCAAGTTTTTCCGCAAAAGCAGATATTTTGCGGAAAAACTTGCCAGTCTAGACACAGCCAAAGAGATTGGCCAATATTTTCAAATGTGACTAGGAATTTTGAGTGCCTAAAGTAGCTGAGACACCTTAAGGTAGCTTCCTTTTCAGAAAGTGCTGAGCTTTTGCCCTCTGAAAATCAGGTTCATGTAAGCTTGTCTCATATGCTGGGCACTCAAAAACTGAATCAACAAGAACAAAAAAAAAAATCATGAGTCATGTAGCAGCTCAATCTTTATAGAAAAGATGCTCAGATGGCAAAATAGCACCAGCGGGTAGGATTCTGCATCTCCTATTCAGTATGGTTCTGCAACCCTATTCAGATTTGTTTCAAACCCTCTTTTCCAATTTCACCTCAATCTAAAGGCTTTTCCTTCTCAGAATTTCTAAAACCTGGGCAATACAAGGAGGGGAAATGATTGTTGTAAAGTTCATAACATGGTTGTGTGAAAGAGAAATTTAGTTATTTAGTTTTTAATTTTTTATTTGTTTTCTTCTTTCAAGCTACAAGAGACAGTGAAGAGGAAACTGGAAGGAGCGCGTTCACCCCTCAATGGAGAGCAGCAGAATGGTGTCTGTGATGGCAGTTTCTCTCCAACCAGCAAGCGGATTCGCAAGGATGTACCAGGAATTGATACAATCAGTAGCTTGCCCAGTAACTTGCCTTTGCCTTCTGTTTCTCCTCCTCACCAGCTTGACATGAAGCCTTCCTTACCTCTGCAGAACAGTGGAACTCATGCTAGTGGGCTGGAAGACTTAGGTAAAAATGGTGGACTTCCAGAGATAAAGCTCCCAGTTAATGGTTGCAGTGATCTTGAGGATAGTTTTAACATCCTGCAGAACAAGGAATTAAAACAAGAACCTTTGGATGACCCCACCTGCATAGACACTTCTGAAACATCCCTTTCAAATCAAAACAAGCTCTTCTCAGACATTAATCTGAATGATCAAGAGTGGCAGGAGTTAATAGATGAACTAGCCAACACTGTACCAGAAGATGATATACAAGATTTGTTCAATGAAGACTTTGAAGAGAAGAAGGAACCAGAATTTCACAGGCCTGCTGCTGAGATTCAAGAAAGTCCAAGTGTTAAGAGTGACCCGTCTCATTCTCCATTTGCTCATGTACCAATGGGGTCTCCCCAGGTGAGGCCTTCTTCTTCAGGCCCTCCATTTTCAAATGTCTCCACAGCTTCTAGTATTCCTTCTGTCTCCAGTGCTCCACCAGCTCCAATCCCTGCCATCTCACCAGCAAACTGTGTTGTTCAGTCACCCCAAACTCCCAACCAAGCCCATACTCCAGGCCAAACTCAGTCACGACCTGGAAATGGTTATCTTATTAATCCAGCATCAGTAACTGTTGCAGGTTCAGGGTCTGGTCCTGTGGCTATACCCAGTGCTGACTTGTCTCCAGCTGAACAGCTCAAACAAATGGCAGCACAGCAGCAACAAAGAGCTAAACTCATGCAGCAGAAGCAGCAACAGCAGCATCCAAATCAAGCATCAAGCTGGTCACCTGTGGGACCTCCATCTAGTCCGTATGGAGGACCGTTCACTACAGACAAACCAAATAGTCCAATGATGTATCCCCAAGCCTTTAACAACCAAAACCCTATAGTGCCTCCGATGGCAAACAATCCACAGAAGACCACCATGAATAACTACCTCCCTCAAAATCACATGAATATGATCAATCAGCAGTCAAATAATTTGGGTACAAACTCTTTAAGCAAGCAGCCCAATATGCTTACTTATGGCAACACTAAACCTCTGACTCATTTTAATGCTGAACTGAGCCAGAGAATGACTCCACCAATAGCCAATCCCAGCAAGAACCCCATGATGCCATACATCCAGCAGCAGCAGTCCCAACAGCCGCAGATGCAAGCTCAGATGGCCCATCTGAGTGAGGAACAGAAACGCATGCTTATTATGAAGCAGAAAGGAATGATGAATCAACCAATGGCATACGCAACAATTCCCTCCCTCGGCCAGGTAAGCACAAATACAGGACATACTTTATATAATGCACATGTACCGTTTGTAGAGACGCGAGGCGAGAATAGCACAAAGCTTCAGTGTTAGCAGCTCTTCATGTGTGTCTATATGTTTTCTTTAAGTGGAGGGGTTTTTTTGCAGCAGCTTCTTGTTTTCAGTGTGACATCAAATGAATGCTTTTCATTGTGAGCTGACATACTCCGTGACTCCGCTGACTATAGCTTGGTAGGGAGGCTATAGAGAAGATGGGTTTTGAAGTTTCATCTCCTCTGAAAGCTTGTTGCTCTCTCTGTGTAACTTTGTACCTTTGCATCTGGTGCTGCTGTGCTGTTTAATTTTCAAAATGTTAACATCCTAAGAGGGGGGCTTAACGGTGTCACTTTCCTCTCACTGGTGAGAAAGTGAATGTTCAAGCCAGCATGAAGCAGAGTATTTGGAAAGGATGTGGTTGAGCGGCATGACATGGCAATGGAAGGGCTTCAGGATGCTGAATGCCCTCAATTCCTACTCTAGGAAGTAACTTTAAACTGCTTTGAGGTTGAGGTTTTGGGGGTACACAAGTAGATTGATCTAAAATAATTGAGCTAAATAACAATAATATAAATACCAAGTAATGTTATGGGTCAGCCAGATTGGGGGCCCTCCGCTCACACTGGAAGACTACTGGTGTGCATAACTGTTCGCTACCTGTGTGAGGAAGAGGGACCTATATGACCATTTGAGTGTTGTTTTGTTAATTTTAAAAAGAGCTACAGAAAATAATCAACTGTTTTATAAGCAAGCCAGACTTACAGTTAACGTGATACATATCATGGAACGTATTCCACTGAAGTATGTCAGGAATTGTGATGAAATGATATGCTAATAGAATTGTCTATTGTTAGTTTTAGTCCAAACAGCTTTTACTAAATTAGCTGTTTCCACAACCACCTACAGTAAGTGCTTCCTTTTGAGCACAGTTTGAGATAATTAATTGTGACTCACGTTGCTAATGCATATGTGAATAAAGCGGGGTTTTGTATTTCCTTAACCCATTGAGTTTTAAAATCTACCAGTAGGGGGAGCATATCTTTTCCACCTTAGAGCCCTTCACATTTAAAGTGAACTGCAAAGCTAAAAGAGATATGCTAGTGCCTTCCATGTTTGTTCATGATGCATGAGGACAGCTCAAAGGTTTGTTCTTCCGCTTGTCTTTTGCATTTGAAAGTACAGGTCCAACTTCTCCTGGTGAAGGCCTGTCTAAAGAAACAGTGGAATAATGACATCAAAACAGGCTGAAATGTGAGCTACAGTTTTCCTAGCCTTTAACTGAGAGGAAAGGGGATGCTTAGCCAGACTATCTTGTAGTCTGTGGTTTCTATTCTTTGTTGGTTTGTTTTTAAACCTGTTTGAGTCACACACCTATCAAACACTTCAGAGGGATAGCCGTTTTAGACTGTAACTGGAAAAACTATAAAAAAACAAACAGTCTTGCAGCACCTCAGAGACAAACAAAATATGTAGATGGTATCATGAGCTTTCGTGGGCACAACCCACTTCTTCAGAGGAAGGAATATCTCCTATCAAACAATTAGGAGAAAAGCTGCCACTGTGAAAGATTTAACAACCCTTCACTTGAAGGCTGAGAAATCATTAGTGCAGATATTACCTTAAAAATCTGTTATGTCTCATTATATTCCTCCAGCAAGAACAGGAAAGTCGAGACTTTATATTCCTGTTGTTGGTATGGCTTTTAAAAGTCAGAAAACGCTTGTTTAAAAAAATCACTGAAGTCAACTTAGAAGTTTAAAAGAAAGCAACTTAAAACCAAAAATGTTTTTAAAAATCCTTTGTGTTTCATCTTTAAGTGACCTCACCAGAAATAGAGACCTATTGCTTCCTTATTGAAAGGTCCCTCCAATCTCTGTGGGCCACTTAAGGTGCATGTATAGAAAACGTTCAATGAGGTGGGGAAGGTAAAATAATAGATTTGCAGTGGAAAGTATTTCCCTACTCCTTTCCTTACTGCTTCCCTGAAGATTACTTTTCTGTGGAAAACTGGAAAGCTGTTGTTATTCTGAGGTCTGCTCATTCAGGAATGGATTGTTTCACACAATTATGGGAAAGATCTGTTGATAATTTTGAGCCAAATCTAGAGATAGATGTTGAGCTCCTGCTACAGACTCCAGGATACAGAGAGTCAGAGGTGCTAGAATACCAGATCAGACCCAGATTTTAGATATACCTAATGGAAACCTCTTGTGTTACTTTTTTAAACAAATTTCAAAATATGCATGTGTATTTTTCTGTGGCTTTATAATTGTTATTCTCCCGCTGCAATTATTTTAAGTTTGACATGTATTCATATGTTTTATAGATATATATTATTTGGTCCCTAAAAGTAAAATCAGGATTATTTAAAAACAAAGTTGGTACACAGAACAATAAATAATGCTATAATAGTTGGGTCACACAGTTGACACTGAGCATATATTAATATCACAATTGGTATACAGTGCATACATTTTGCAAGGGCTTAACTCAGCCCCTCTAGGCAGGTCAGTTTGTCACCCCAACACCTCTCATCTTGGCATGCCAGTTAAGAAAGTAAAAATGAAATTACTTGAACTTTAGCTTCTCTTTCATTCCAAATTAAGTTTTTATGGTATCAGAGGTTATTCAACGGATTGTATAGGACAACACGTGTACATACAACAGTCTTGAGTATTACTTCTGTAATGGCATTCAAATTAGAGTACAGTTTGAACTTCTCTGGTCCGGCAACATCTATGGTCTGGCATGATTTTAGTTAGCTACATGTCCTCTTACAGTGAGTGTGGCCAAGTTTCCCATGGTCCCATAAAGTTTGCTTACAGCCACCAGTCCTGGCTCTGTGTTCTCTGCTGTGATCTAGCTCTAATTTATCTTTAAATGTCTTGTACGAGCCCAATAAGAAGTGGAAGTGTTGGTAATCCTGCTAAACAATATTGAGCTACTGAGGTTGGCAAATTCTTTGGTTTAGCATTGGTCAGTCCTTGAGGGTGCTGGACTAGAGAGGTTCAACCTATATATATCTTTATATCTTAAATCCATACATATCTGCATCTGTATGATTCAGTTTATAATAAATAGAACATCTACCCATATTTATTTTGCATCATTCACTTTATATGATGTATACACCATTTTATCAGCAAAACTGATGCTATATAAACATTCTATGGCGAGGTCACAAGCCTATAACCTTCTCATTAACATGTCATTGACTGCCTGGTATTCTGGGCTTATTTTCTATGTTTTGATGACTAGACTGGCATGATTTTGCGGAAATACTGAAAAGTTTTTCTGTTAAAAGTATTTCCGCAAAAGAGCGTTTAGATTGGCAAGGATGCTTTAGCGCAAAAGCATCCGTGCCAATCTAGATGCTCTTCTGCGTAAGAAAGCTCCGATGGCCATGTTAGCCATCGGAGCTTTCTTGCGCAAAAAATTAAGGTGCCTGTCTACACTGGCCCTCTTGCGCAAGTATTCTTGCGCAAGAGGGCTTATCCCTGAGCGGGAGCGTGAAAGTATTTGCACAAGAAGCACTGATTTTGTACATTACAAAGTCAGTGCTCTTGCGCAAATTCTTGCGGACAGTGTAGACAGCTGGTAAGTTTTTGCACAAAATCTTGTCAGTCTAGACGCATCCATTATGTTTAAAAGAAAAGGTGTGCAGCTAGAGAGGAACACATGTAGCTCAACATGAACATGAGAAATTGGACAATCAACAGAGTGTTAAATTGGTGGTCATGAGAGAAACTTGTGAATGAGAAACGTTCTTGCATGCACAAAGGTAGTAGAACCTCTCTTAATGTGTGTCTCCATTTCTTGCATTTACCTCTTGTGACGATCTGGGGACTCTATCCCAGTAAAGCTTAAGAATTCTGTTTTTGTTATCCAGCTGTACTATGGAATGCCTCTAGGTGTTTGTGGAATCCAACTTTTGATGACCATGCTGTCAAAAACAGAGACAATGGAGAATTATTAACCTTAACTACTGGGCTCTAATCTTAACTGCTGGGCTCTTACTGAACAATGGGTATGCTAAGGAGTTTGCTTGAGTGGGGAAACCAGCTTGACCAAGTTTTTCTGCTGGGGGACTGATGAAATGAACAGTGGAAAATCACCAGCAGAACACCACACCCGCACACACAAAACTCAGACATTAGCAGGGGGAGTCATAACTCCAGGGATTCGGAATATTACAAAGCCACCCAAGAATCTTTTGAGGCAGTGGTATCTAATGTTGCCCCTCAGATTTTCCAGCCATGAGCGGAGTGAGTTTTAGCTTGTGCAGCAATATTGAGGTCATGTGCGCTGGTCATGTGCCTGCCGCGTGAGTGCTGCTGGTGTGCACCTCTACAGAGGAAGTGGGTAGGGGGAGAATTTTTTGTGCATGGCAGCACACGCACGCACCTTAGCAGGAACTATTGTGATATTCTGTTCAACTGTGGGATGAGCCAAGGTTAGAGAAAGGTGGCTGACCTAGAGAGGTTCAGAGGTCCTCAAGAAAAGCCAAGAGCTGCAGGGGAAGGATCTTGGAACCTCCAGAAGACTCTGCTCGATCCTAGTGAATATTCCTGAGTGACCAGGAACCTGGGGGCAGTGGAAATACATATTTGAGTTTATTATTCTGTCTGAGTATTTCTTGGGCTACTAAGTGCATACTTATTAATGGTGTTTTAGAATCTTGTGCAAAGCTTCTTTTCCTTCATTGTCATGGACCCCTGAAGAGTAAAACTGTGAACCCTGAGAGCACAGAAGGCTGGAATTATGGGAAAAATTGTGTTTAAACAGTGGGGAAATCTGAGAGGTTATCAGTGGTCCCAGGAGCTATGCATTTGGCCCATAGGATCACAGCTGTGAGGAGGAGGCAATAGCTCTTGTCCACCCAAGCATATGCCTAGAGATTAGGGATGTGATGTTTACTGGTTCCAGTTAACTGGTGCAGCAGGTGGGGGCTGCTCCAGCTCAAACTG